ATACACACACACACACACACACATATATATATATCTGTACTGAATATTAAAACTTAATGAGCTCAATTTCTGACCTTTGCATGTCATTATAGAATTCATGAAAATGTTACCTTTCTCAGTGGTTGCCGATCGTACAGGCTTGATTTCACATTCTCCTACTGATGCATGGTCATTATTTTTTGAGTGCTTATCATCATCATCAGGTTCATTCCCTGGATCACACTAAGAAAATAAGTTATTTTTCTTTCCATCAGTTGACCAAAACAAAACATTGAGATTAAGAACAAGCATAGCTAAATTCAAGCAGGTTTATATTTTAGTGAGTAGAAAGTAAACTTTTCTGCAAGCATTTCAACTCATCTATGTGTCCAAACAGGAGGTTCATGGATTCAAACTCTTATCGAAACGTAAAAGGTCTCCAGCTAAAAACTTAACCCGGAAAAGGTTAACACTAAAAAAAGAGACTGGTATATGGCAATTACTACTGAGGACTGAAAAATATCTCACCTTTACCTCTGATTTAGCTGCACTCTCCTCCCGCTCGTCTACTGCAGGGTAATGTGACAACAAGCAGATTGCATGATCAAGTATAAAAGAAATTGTTTTGGTCATTTGACCATTCCAGGTGAATAAGATGTACTTGCAAAGGTTGTTTGAATATTTTAAAAGTGCATAGTTTGACATGAAGTATCGCCTCTACACCAAATATACATAATATGTTTCATCTGAATTAGAATTAACCAGATTTTCCAAAAATACAACAATAAATGAAAATGAAGTAGTTCTTACACTTTTTGGTCCCTTCTGCAACAGTCTGAGATGATGGACTTGTGTCCTTCACTGCATCACTCTCCTCCATAGACCGCTCAGTCATGTTACTGCTGCTTTCATTGTTGACCTCTTTACCTTCATCAGTCTCTCCTGTTGAAGGGTCAGAGCCAACAAGTACTACAGATTAGTCAGTTCCCAACTGTATACACACTATAAAAACTAAAATATCATTTTACTATTTAAATCTGTTACTATACAATAAAAGTTTTCATTCAAATGCACCTTTTTTGTCGGTTGCAGATGGTATTACACAAGTGATTTCAGATTCTCCTCCCACTCTTGTGCTGTCATCGTCCTTGTCTGAGTGTTTAGCACCACTTACTGAATCACACTAAAAGAAATTGGTGATTTTAGAGAACCTTTAGCTTATCTGGTTATGACCTCAAGATGAAAGATGTGAAGATCAACAAAAGACAGTGGTATCAGAGTACACCAAAACCAAAAAATAAAAGCAAGGCTAGGGAACATGCATAACTTTGTATTTTAGTGAGGAGATAGTGAACTCTTCTGCAAAACTGTTTTTAAATCATCCATGTGTCCAACCAGGAGGAACGTCTGAACTAAAAAGGTCTTCAGCTAAAACTGGATCCGGAATATAGATAGCATAAAAAACAGAAATACTGGTGTAAGGCAATTTCTATTGAGGACCAAAAGAAATCTCACCTTTACCTCTGATTTAGCTGCCTTCTCTTCCCTCTCGTATACTGCAGAGTAATGTGACAACAAGCAGATTGCATGATCAAACATAAAAGAAACTGTTTTGGTCATTTGACCACTCTAGGTGAGTAAGATTTATTTGCAAAAGTTATTTCTGTTTTTCAAAAAATGCATTGTTTAGAATGACTGTATCTCCTCAACGCTAAATATGCATAACGTGTTTTAACTGATTTTGAATTATCCACACGTTGCAAAAAATACAAGAATCAAAAGAAAACTGGGTGATTCTTACCTTCTCTAGTCACTGTTGAAACAGTCTGAGATGATGGACTTGTGTCCTCCACTGCATCACTCTCCTCCAGAGAATGCTCAGTCATGTTACTGCTGCTTTCATTGTTGACCTCTTTAACTTCATCAGTCTCTCCTGTTGAAGGGTCAAAGCCAACAAATATTACACATTAGTTAGTTCCAGGCTTTATATACACCATTACAATTGAAATATCATTTCACTGTTTACATCTCTATTACTTTACAATTAAAGTTTTCTTTAAAATGCACCTTTCTTGTCAGTTGTAGATGGTATTACAGAAGTGATCTCAGATTCTCCTCCCACTGTTGTGCTGTCATCATCCTTGTCCAAGTGTTTAGCACCACTCACTGGATCACACTAAGAAAGCAGGTGATTTTAGAAAACCTTTAGCTTATCTGGTCATAACCATTGAGATGAATAATGTGAAGATAAATAACACATAGTGGTACCCCCCAGATCTCACCTTTATCTCTGTGTTAGCTGCAGTCTCCTCCTCATCTGTAGCAGCATAATGTGACAAGCAGATTGCACATTCAAACATAAAGGAAAGAGTTTTGGTGAGTTTACCATTCCAGATAACTGTTCCAGACAAAAGTTCATTTTCACTCTTCTCCGTGGACTGCTCACTCATGTTACTGCTGCTTTCATTGTTTATTTCTCTAACTTCATCAGATTGAAATACTCAAGTAGAGTACAAGTACCTCAAAATTTTACTCAAGAACAGTACTTGAGCAAATAAACTTTCCACCGCTTATTGGCTGATTGTAAGGTTTTAAGGATACATTTTGACTAAGTTAAAGGCTACAGCTACAGCTTTGACTTATCAGTTATTTAGACCTGCAATAATTGATTTATTTGGCCACTTGGGGGCAGTGGAAACAAGTTGTGAATACAATACTGACTTCTATAGCTATATTTTGGTCTCTGCCAGCTCCAGGGGCAAATATTTGGCTCTACAACTACTAAATGCTCCATGAAGTGTACCAGCTAGTCACTAAATATGTCTGTCTGCTGTTTGGTGATGAATAGGTGGTATACAGTGGGTTCTTAGAACTCTTTTGCTGAACAACCAGGGAAACCAGAACAAAACTAAATTTACAGACCAGACAGCTAAACTATGACCTGAAACTCACCATAAAGCTCTGTAAATAATTCCTCTAAACATAATCAATCTTTGTAGGTTCACCACTAAGAGAAACCCCTGTTTACACTGCAAAATTGTTTTTATGTTGACGTTACATTGTTATTGCAAAATATTGATTCTAAGTGCTTCAACTTTTTGTCCACTTTATGAAGCACTGAACGCCAACATTAAAATCTCACCTATTTGATTTTGCTGAAACACGGAGGTATTGATCCTTCCTTTTGTTTGGGATTTGTGGTCCATGGGTTCGTTCTGCTCTTTATCTTCATCACACAGACCACTGTAGCAGTGGTACTTATTTTCAGAGACCATGATGTCTATTTTTTCCAGCAGAGCTATTATCTCATTTTCATCCATCATACTTCTTGTACATGTGTGGTATCTTTTTTCAACAAAACTGCTGTTGGCTTTCAGGTCTTTCAATGCACGTTCGCATTTTTCGTCTGACTTGTGAGTCACAACTGTGATTAAATAAGCAAGTGATCGTTTCCCGAAAGCCTTTTCTAACCATAGCACTCCTGAACTGTAATGGCTTGTATGCAGACCATTTGGTAACAGTAAGAGAAAGGCGTGAATTCCCTGATTTAATGGGAATTTGTCAATGTTTTGTTGGCCAAGCATGTTAATGACAGAAATGTGCCGACCACACAGATCATACAGTTTGGTTGAAAACTCTTCCACATTTGTTTGCTCGTCATGGTCAAGTAAGATGTTTTTTGATCCAATCTCAATGGTATTTGTATCACCAATTAACACCAGTGTGAGTTCAGGTATCACTGAAACAAAGATAAACAGAGAATAACATCATTATACAACAATGCAGTTATCACTGAACCAGCATTGTCAAAGTTTTACAGTGTTGACAGAGATGCGATGAGGAATCAAGGTTATAAACTAATTTTTACATTCACACGATTAGTTGGATTTTAACAATTTGTCATTGTGTTCTGAACTTACCTGAAATAAAATCTACAACATTAATGAATGAACAGCACAATCAATGCCTGTTTAAAATATTACCTTTCTCATCGGTTGCAAATTGAACAGACTCGATTTCAGACTGTCTTCCTGTGCTTTCATCATTCTTCTCTGAGTGTTGAGCTTCACCAGGTTCATTCACTGGATCACACTGAGAAAATATGTGATTTTATTCAACAATTACTTCTCCAAGTTAGAATCACTGAGATTATGATGTTTTCTTTTTAACTGGGAACCCAAAATCAAGAAAACAGAATCAAGATAAATATGAAAGTCTAATATGAATAAAATACAGTGTTACAATAGTACTATAACATATAAATTAAGAGTGAATCAAAACAATATACACTAGCAAATGCAAGTCAGATTGTGTTAAAGTGAAAAGGGAAAAAACACTCTAAAAGGGTTCTCAGCTTAGTCATTTAATATCAAACCTGGAGGGTCATGAATGTGAATGTGCGTTTTACCATAGATTTCCAACTGTATAAAGAAATTCACAACTTAATGCCAAAACTGTGATACAACTTCAGAAAACAGGGTAATGTTAAAAAAAATAAATGCAGCTGTAAATGTACCTGGGCTTTGGCTGCACCCTCATCCGTCTCATAGACTGCAGGGGCATGAAAGAAAAAGCAGAATGCATGGAATTAGCATAAAAATTTGCGTTTGGTTTTGGACCTATAATTATTGTTGCAGAGTACAGTACTTACATCTAATAGTGTTACATAATTAGATTACAGAATAAAGGTAATTGTAATCAGTTGCAGTTACTGAGAAAAAAATAATTACAGTTTCTATCAAAATGTTGGTGACTACAAAGGGGTTATATCTTTATATATTATTAGTAGAAAGCTAATATGTAGAAAATATTAATTCTGTTGCTTTTCATCTTTTTGCTGTGCGGGAATGCCTTCTTTTGGCCTATGTCTGGGCAACACCGGTCAGCAAAGATGTCGGGACAAATTTCAGACTTGTACTAACTTTAAAACATTTCTTAGAAAAGTAATCAAAAAGTTAGCAAATGTTATAAGTTACATTACTTTAATGAAGCAATTAAAATAGCTACATTACTTATTACATTTTAAACAGGGTAACGAGAAATTTGACACCTAATACATTTCAAAAGTATCCATCCCAACACTGCCTATAGTGCTATTTATCAATCTAGATTGTTTCGGTGTGAGTTACTGAGTGTTGGTGATATTGGCTGTCGAGGTGTCTACTCTCTCTCCAATACAATGGAACAAGATGGCACTCAGCTTGAGTGAAAAAAAAAGAAAAACAGCAATGTATTTTCCAGAAATCACGACCCAGGTAGTCAAGATAAGTCATAGACGTTCTTGTGAGCATTTTCATGTGGGAACTATTTTCTTTGGCCCAAACTCCACCCGCCAACAATATCACTGCACAGATGGATGTGAAAGATGCTCGCGTTGATGACAGTGCGAGATGTTAACATTAATGGCAGCTGAGCTGTTACATTAGCTAGCTCAGTGGAGCTGAGTGAGCTAGCAGTAGATGCACGCTTCCCTCCGCACAGTGATTCAGTTTGCAGACCAGGTCCTGGCTGCTGGAAAGAGACATTGCTGTTGAGTTTGCCATCGAGTTCCATTATGTTGGAGAGAAGCTGATACAGCTGATATCTCTGCAACTCACACCACAATTATTTTGATTTATAGCACTACAGGTAAGAACAGGGGGGACCTGTCCCTTTAAAAATTCTTAAGTGTTTGAACCTAAACTGACATATAAATTTAATGTTACAATATAATCAGTTCTTGTGTAAATATATTACCTTTCTCATTGGCTGCAGATGGTACAGACTTGGTTTCAAGCTCTCCTCCTCCAGCTGTTGTGTTATCATCGTTGTCTTCCTCCATCTTATCTGCTCTTCATCTTCTCAGGGTCAAGCTGTATGACAAAGCTATTCGCACAAATACAGCAATGAATGATCACTGCAAAAACACATTACCTCTCAAGCTGATAAAGCAAATTATTTGATAAGATAAACAAAAGCACTACATCGTACACATGAAACAATTTAGGGAACATCCTCATGATTTTACCGCTGGTGAAATGTTGGTTAGGGTTAGGTGCTAGAGAATGCACTAGGTCAATGAGGGTCCTCATAAGCATGCAAAGAAAACTCTGTGAGTGAGTGATATAGTGTGTGTGTTATAGTGTGTGTGTGTGTGTGTGGCCCAATTCCAATTCCTATTTTAACCCTCAATCTTAATTCTCAAGCTCAACCCTCAATCTCACTAGCCCTCAAAACCAAGTGTTAAGGGCTATCTTGTGACTTTAAAATGGGACACCCCTCAAAGGCAAATACGTCTTAAGACTGTGGGGGGCCAAAACTCTGTCCAGTCTGTCAGTTCAGAGAAGAAGAAATATACATCATCAGTAGTCGTCAATAAAAAGATGCGACAATTTTTTTCCTCCAACACTTTATTTCAATTCTTGTACAAAACAAGCAGTGACAGACATGAAGAGAAAAAAATATGCCAGGGTTAAGAGAAAAGAAAGAGAAATAAAATAAACAAATAAATAAATAAAAAAGTTCAGCAGCTCAAACCATTAAATTGTTTACATAAACTACATACTACTTTATAGCTTTGGAGTTTGTGGAGTGCTGAATTTTACAAAATGTACTCTTATGAATATAGAATTTCGCTATAGATAATAAATAGATTAATGAACACATCTTTGTACAGTAGTGAAAATAGAACATAAATGTTACAATGAATATACTCGACAAAATCTTTCCAAAAAGTGACAGTATAGGGGCAGCAAAACAAATGTGCAGTTACCAAACAATAATCTTCTACAATGCCGTCTGCAGCTGTGCTGATTTCATATTGAAACAGAATGCTTGATCACTAGGGGAACAGTTGCCGTTGTGACCGAGATTTATGTTATGAATATGAACAGTTCACAAGTTACAAATTACTCACTCCCATAGTTTTTTTGGAGCCTGCTTGCTTTTTGTAAACTTGTCTTCATTGGTGGCCCTGAAATGAATCAGGGCTTGTGTTTTGTCTTGTGGCCCTGAAATAGAACAGAGATAACAACATTACTTTCTTTTATTATTTTTTTTTGGGCTACCTGTCAGACATTCGTTAAGTTATTAGTTTAGTTTCATGCAGTATTGCAAGTATTATCACAATGAATACTGTAGTCAACATCCAGCAGAACTGGTGAGGCTGTTTACACGGTCACACAAGTGTTATCTGGTGACTTTCATCCACGTTAACGTTTCACTCTTTGGGTTATAAGTTGATATTCAGCCAAATAACCTGTACCACAACAAC